TGCCCATGGGCCTGGAGACCTGAACTCGGTCCTTATTCCTGAACAGTGAGTACTCATGCCCATGGAGCTGGAGACCTGAACTCGGTCCTTATTTCTGAACAGTGAGTACTCGTGCCCATGGAGCTGGAGACCTGAACTCGGGTCCTTATTCCTGCACAGCGAGTACTCATGCCCATGGAGACATCTCCAGCCCTGATTTAGCTTTCTTATATAACTTTAACACTGGATACTTAAATAACAAAAAGACAAAAAGTAGAAAACGACTATTGATAAGAGTAAGCATTCTACCTGATAATGAGAGATGTAATAGAATCAGAAGGCCACTATTTTGTACCTCTTAAGAAACTAACAGACTGTAGTCAATCACCCATGGGGTAGGGGCGATGATAGAAGAGAAACCTATAGACTTCAAATTCTTTAAATACATCAACAGGTTGAGATTGCAATGGACAGTATTTATTTGAAAACTGATTTTAAAATGTAGCTGCTAAAGTTTTTGTTTGCTTGTTTCGTTTGCCAGGTAAGGTGGTGCACACCTTTAATCCTAGCACTTTGGAGGCAGAGGATGGTAAATCTCTGTGAGTTCAAGGCCAACCTGGTCTATATAGTGAATTCCAGTACAGCCAGGGCAACTCAGGGAGACCTTGTCAAAAAACCAACCAAACCAACCAACCAAACAAACAGAAGAAAACTAAGCCAGGAAAAGCAGCTGCTAGTTTAAACAACTACAACTTTTCATATTAATGTAAGTATTTGAAGAGACTAAGGAAATATAGATGAAATTTTTTTTTAGTGTGATGATTCTCTGGTTATAAAAAATCTCATAGTTTTAACATAAATGCTGAAATACTTTTAGGCAGTAAAGGACATTATTAAGAAAGGAGAAGTCATAAAATAAAGAAAAATATTTTACATTTCATTTTATTATTTTGTGTATATGGTTGTTTTGCAGGAAATATATCTGTGTACCACATGTGTGTGCAGTGTCCAGGAGGACCAGATGAGGGCAGCTGATCCCCTGGAAGTAGAGTTACAGACAGTTGTGAGTCTCCATGTGGGTACTGGGAATCGAACCTGGACCCTCTCGAAAAGCAGCCAGTGCTCTTAACTTCTGAGCCACCACTCCAGCCTCATACTGAAACTATTTATAACTTATACCTGATAAGGATATAGCATCCAGAATTTATCAAGAACTTGTATAAGCCAACAA